AGAATAGCACCACTTTCAAGTTACATGGTTCACAACTGTTTGGCAGGCAATAGAGTCAGTCTGGAAGTGGTAATACCCACCAGCATTTACAAATGTGGTTAAAATAGTGTGATTACTGTCAAGTAGTTTGGGTGTTTAATAGGGGTAGGCTGACACAGCTATATAAACAATGAAAGTTGTCCGATACTCAATATTTCCATCGACACTGTAGGATAAGGCTCTGACTCCCATGCGGTAGGTCTTTGGCTCTCGCAGCGGTCGGGTGGTGAACACTATTCCTTTCAAGTTCTCATCTCTCAGGGCAAATGGGATTGCTGGGTCCTCATCTGCCATTAAGAAAGTTGTCCTTGGGTGCATGACTTCATCATGAGTATAGGCAACCAGCCGGATTAAATCCTGGCCAGCAGCTATGCCAAAGGGGAGGGAAAGGAGTTTGTATTCCAAGGCGTAGGTACTCGGATCACACTCCAAGTCATTGGCTGGGCAGTTTTTGAGACAGAACCTAAGAATGAGCAGATCACTTTAGTCCAGGAAGAAGGCACAATATTGTAAGTACTGCAATAGGTCTTAAAGGAGAAAAATCTTCTCCTGTTTACCCTGTGGCAGTATGCAGATTAAAACTTCTGTATAAAGAAAGATAATATGCTCGTGCACTTTTTATCCATTGTTCCATTGAAGTTGCAGCCCAGTTTAATATCCCATTTTCATCTCAACAGAATCATCTTAGAAAGTGCCAGAAGGCAATATAAAGATGTCAGATACAATATTTGTTATTGAAGGCACTGGTGTTATGTTTCTGTAACCTTGGTTTTAAACATTAGAATTGGACAGATTGGTTAAAAATGTACCAGGCAGCTCCATTTGAGGTATTCGTGTGTTAGATCATAAAATAAAGAATTTGGAATGAAGAAGGGCAAAGTAAGCTTTATTTCTATTAATCAAAAGTCAAACTAGGAGATCTTTTCTAGCTCTGCTTGTCAGTGCTAACATCACCCAATTCAACTTAAATGTCATTCCAGTTGAGTTTGATCAGAAAAGACGGTTTCTGACTACGAGGAAAGCTATTTCCGTGAGTATATTAAAAGAAATAAATACATTTTGTCTAGAACAGGGAAATAAATAGAATAACTTAAATCCAGCCTTATCATGAACAGTAACATTATTTTCATGACTAAAAGAATACATTAAATGCTTTGAAACACATTAGGCCATTAGAGAAGTTGGAAACCTCAGATGTAAAGGCAGCCCTATAAGTGACAACTGAATGACACCAAATCAGCAGAAAGAATTGTGGCGTGCTGCCTGCTGGGGTTCACATAGTAAAGGAACATTCTGGAGCTATTTCCTTTTGAATTAATAGGGTAATGCTACGTGGATACTGAGCAGCCAGCTCACTTGCACCCACTGCTTTCTATTTGTGCTGCAGGGGAAACATGGAATACTACTGCTTGTCTTGAATGTCAATGCTTTACCTTTTGCTAGTATGAGCTTTATGGTGTCAGTCAAAGTTTCTTCTTTAATGAATACGGATCAACGATCTGAACTTGGGGTGAGTGAAAATGAGCTGAAAATAAAACTTACCCAGAAAGAGGCTCTCGCTGATAGTTTGGTGGACAAGGTGTGTCTATGCACTGGTAGCTTCCTCTCATGTTGAAACACATCTGATTTGATCCACAGTTAATGTTCTGTTCAAGGCACTCATCAATATCTGAATGTAAACACGGAAATGGTAAGTTGCTAGTAGAAGAATTGAAGGGTTAAAAACTAGCTGGGTAAGGGCTCAGCAGACTACAGTGTACCTCTGTGCACAGTGAAATCTTTCAGAAACCTGTCTTGGTGTCTGAGACACTGGAGCCACTAGTTTCAATACTGTGCATTTATTCATTTATTATTGTTGGCATTTTATTACTGCTCTGGCTGGCATATTGTGCAAGAGCTGCCCTACGGTCTTGATCCAACATAAACTGTAGTTGTCAATAGAGAATAAGAAGCTGCTGTTGTATAATTGGCTTTGTTTTACAAAACGTTAAGATGTGAAATATAAAAATTTCTGAAACTTGAAATTCTGACTATATTTCCTATCACTCAGAGGGATCTCTGTACCTTGGCAGGTTTTGCCATTGGGCATAAGGCGATAACCAGATGGACAAGTACACTGGTAACTTCCCAGGGTGTTTCTGCATTCATGCTGACAGGTATGTCTGGTTTCACATTCATCGATGTCTGTGGAAAGAAACACGAACACGTACACATCAGGATTATTTGAACATGATATCAAACAGAGGTATCAAACAGAGGTATTTTTTCTCTTATTTATGTACAAGCATATGCACAGAGTTGGCGGAAGTTGTCTGGATCTTTTCTGATGGGGTTGAACATCTAAGCAAGTCCTTTCACACCTTACCTGTGCCACTCCTTGTAACTTTTTAATAATTAAAGTCAGCTTTAAGGGGATCCTCACCTCTTTTGATAGCAGCCATAATACCTACTCTAGCTGAAGAGACCAGCTGTGATACAGAGTTCTGGGGAGAAAAGGGGATGTGCAATCTGTATACATCAACAAGGTTGTAAAAATACAGTCTTGTTCCAGAAAGCAAGCTGTGGTGCCTGGTAATAATGTTTTAAGCAATATGCTTAGGAAACACCCAGATTAGTTATCTCAACAGAGGAGGTCTTGACAATGGGAGAGTTGTTCTTACAGTTAATCCCTCCTCAGGCAAAGCTCTTTCCATTCCAAACTGATCTTCCCCATGCCACAGGGATGAATTAAGCTCAGTATCTGGAAACACTATCAATAAATGCTCTTAAATTTTTATTTTTATTTTTTAAATCCCCCTCTCAGATACAGAAGTACCAGACCACTTTATGTAAAATTTTCAAAGCAGAGTAGTGTGATTTAGACATAGATCATATATAATTTCTTTTGAAACATCTGCCTAATTCAGCACAGCAATGAAGACCCTACTCAAGTTAATCTCAGGCAAGAGGCAAGACTTGCATGATTAAAACAGTGGAAGGGAGGTTCCTTCCCCTCTCTTTGTCTGATTTACAGGGGTTGCATTAGATAAAAATGCAAACACAGAAGAGAAACAGATATGGCTAGAAATTTATGGTATGTTGTTATCAGATCCTGACAGCTGTCTGTTGAATGAACTTTCTTTTTAAAAAGCCTCACTTAGGTGCATTTTTCATATCAAACAGTAATTTTCAAATATAGATGTTTATGCCAATGAAATGGAAGTACAAGAATATTAACTCATTCAAACTGGAAGCTGGAGTGAAGATGATAGATTTTAGCTTAACCCTTTAGTTTATAGTGGTAGCTGTATTCCTAGGTCTTTCAGTTAAACTGCTATACCTGTAAAAAACCTCATCTTTACAATTACTGAATTTTTTTTATAATGTAAACACAAGGTTTAATGTCCTATCTATAATTAATAAAATTATACTTACATTTTCCAACATTATCTAATATATATTGCTATGTAATTCTAGCAATAACTCTTGTTGCTAGAATCTAGCTGTAGATTGCTCTTTATCCTGGAAGGGTACTGTGCTTCTTATGAAGTGTCATTGGCATATATGCTAGGGTGAAGTACATAGCTACACACTATATGTATGTATGTACTATATATTACTATGTTAAATGCACTGGGACAAGCTCTAATAAGGCCTAGCCTGTGGTACAGTTAGATAATCAGTATTATTATAAAATAGATGAACTGGTCGGGTTTTTTTTTTCCTGAAAATACTCAAAATGTGAGTTAAGTTGGCAAGGTCTGGCTTAAGAGAAGCGTATTTCAAAAGATGAATTAATTTTTCACAACCGCCCTAAAAACCTGGGGCAGAGATTGCCAGTTACCACAGCTGCCCTGCTCTCCTCATCAGAGGAAAAGAAAGGGCAGTGCAGTCATTGTCACAACTTATGATAAATCCCCTATTTGTTTATTTATAATCAGTCTCTCCACTCTCAGTGAATCACATTACAACCAACTATATATCATAACTACAGATCACTTAAGAGCTCTGCTTATATCACCTGTATGGCAGTGACTAACCATCCTGTAGCAGTGCTGGCATTGGCCCTAGTATGCTCAGTTCTAAAATCTTTATTCAAAACCTTTTGGAACCAAAGTATCACTACCACCAGTGGGATTCTGATATAAGCAACATCCCCAGGACTAGATGGGGTCTGATAGTGTGTTTTGAAGCATGAGAAAGTTCACAAAGGTGGCCTACCATAGTCAGAAGAAAGAGAATAACAGAGGGAGATAATTTACAAACACACAATAAGCAGCACAATCAAGAGTTACAAAGGAGGAAGTTTGAAAACATTTTTGCTACAATATGATCAAGAGGCAAGAACATGCAGAACTCTAAATATTTATCAGGGTAATTTGAAAAAAAAAAAAAAACACAGCACCACAAACCCCTTGTATATATTAAACAGTAACCTAAGAATAAGGACCAAAACAAGACAATTGCATAGATATGACTGACATTTACCTACACATCTGTCATTTCTTGCCTCATAGCCTTCAGGACAAGTTTCTCTAATGTTCCTTCTAGTCCTGGAGAAAGGTATTCTGCTGTTTCTATACTCTGAGAAGGAGCTGTAGAGATTTGAGGAATGCCTGTAATATTGTTGAGGTTGATAGTTGTCTCTCACAGGGGAGAATTGAGCATAGTTATAGCTATTGTAATAGGCACCATAATTTGGCAATCTCTCCAATCCAGCGCAAGATTTCCCATCACCTAATAAATGTTGTCCAGGTGGACAGATACACTTGAAGCTGCCGGGGGTGTTGGTGCATTGAAATGCACAGGGCTTAGGCACTTGTTCACATTCATTAATGTCTGCTCATGTGACATGATCCAGAGCAACAAACCATGTGGAAAGGAGAAAAAACAAACAAACAACACATAACTATATGTATATATATACATATATATTTATCTCAGTCTGTAGAACAAACTGAAGACATAGAAGCGAGATCCTGAAGACAGCAAAATATGGCAAACACAATGCCAAGTAGGCAGGTTTCTCTAGCCTGAACAGTAATACACCTTTACCCTTCCTGTAAGGCTTCATGTGACATAAGACTGTGCTTGCATAGGACAAGAACTCTGCTGAAGATTGTGCCTCAAGTGTTACTGAAGGTAAGATGTGGCTATGAAACGGGGACCCCAAGTCTGTTCCTCTGTTCTTGCAGAAGCAGGGCTGGGTAACAGCCTGAAAGCTGCTGGCTGCAGTTCCTGCTGTTTATGAGAAAGGATGCTCTCTGAGAAATGAAGTGGCCTTTTGGACCCACTTTGTTCATCACTTCAGCTTATGCTGTTCACTGCTACTTTAGTAATTTTTTTTTTTTTCTTAAGCGCTCCACAGATGAGTGGGAGAAGGTGTTGGATCCCTCTCTAAAGGAGGATACTTAACACGGAACATTCTTGAGAAGTACATTCAAACTAGCACAGAGGGAAGCTCAAGAAGTTCTGATACCATTATCATACTATGCATCAGGGCAAAAATCAGGTCTTGAGGATGTGTCACAAGGCTGCAGGGGAAGGAGGTCAGTTATGTTCTAACCTTTGATGTTATTGATGATTCTGGCTGTGAAAGTTTGGAGACTTAACTTTTGTACAATTAAAAAATACAATTATTTGTTGAGATCCAACACAGTTAACAGAAATATTGTAATTCAGTTAAGTGGGCATGCACAGATCTATGGATGTTCTGATGACAGATGAGCATTGTAATTCTTTGTCTATTGGATGGGGATAAGACACAAAGGACTTTAACCAGGCTAAAAGTGGCACAGGTATAAACAAAGTTCAATCCTTCTGTATCAGTCTTGGGTCCTACTTACTTTTCAACTCTTCCCTGTGCTCACTGGAAACATTAACAATAAAAACTGGATTTTATTAACACATGTGAACTAATACCTTTGAGAAATCTTTATTTTAAATATATTTTTAAGCAGATAGATAGATAGAAATTCAAAGGTGTATAAAGGTCATACTTTAAGAAGGAGCTTTCAGTAGTCCTTGGTACAGAAGACAGGTTCAGGACAGCAGCTAGTGTTTTGTGAAAATCTGTAGCCCTAGACTTTATCTAGCTTATTACTGTCAGAAATTTAGGTGGGTTTAATATATGTTAAGGAGTCTGGAATTGATTTTATTTCAGTAGAGAGGCAGCTGGTGGAAGTAATGTCTTGGTCTATAGCCAAACAATTTCTTACTGCAATTTAGTCTCTTTAATTTAAAAAAACCAAACAAATTAAAAAATAAAAAAAAACAGGAAAAAAAAAAAACCCCCACAAATTCCAAAGTCTTAGGTTGTGTAAAAGGAAAAACACTAGTCTCCAAAGCAGCTATTTGTCTCCTCCAAAGCAGCTATTTATCTCTTAGGAAAGCTAATCTTGAAGAAGTTACCATGGAGGAATGCTTCTCTGATATGATACATGAGAGCAACTGAAACCAACCTCACTTGGTGTCATACACCAACATTCATAAATCATTATCAGGGTGGATCAACTATTATATTTTAAATATTCTGCATAGAGAAGGGGTGAATCTATATGACCCTAGTGCCATCCTAATATCTGTTAGATACCAGGGGATGTGTTTTATGCACTTGCACTGACATGATACATTAAACTGTCCTGCTATCTACATTAGAGCTATGAGAACATCCTTCAGATGCTAAGGCTCTGTGCATGAGAGAAAGCTCTGCATGTTTTTATGGCAGAATTTTCTACATAGATAGCATAGGAGAGTAACTACATGGTCAGGATGCCTGTGACTGACAGGAATACTCCTTTCTTGCTATGATCCACCCAAAACAGAAAGGGGAGTGTTGCATGATAAATGGGTATCAGCTTCCTCTGCTTAACCCATATAGGGAACATCCTTCGCAATTCTAGCAGGTGGGTGTGTATCGTGCCTCTCGCAATACCCTTCCTTTGGGTGTTCTCCTTTAGGGGAATACACATCACTCCCTGCATGACCGCCTTCAGGTGTGAATCAGTACATTCCAGGGTATAGCCAAGGACATTTCACTGTCCAATCAACTAACAAATCTGACCTGATTTTTATAAAGAAGCCTCTTGTGAAGTGGTAGCTTGCACATCCATCCACCACTGCTCTGAGCCCCTTGTATGCTTTATTTTCATGGTATGGACCTATAAAAATCTCTGTTTGGAATCATTTAGTTTTGACTATTTTTTTTGTTTTAATGGGGTGCTCTGTTTTAGATAGATAGGTAATTTTTAACTTCAGTACAGATTTGTCTATATAGCATAGTCTTGATAACATTCTTGTATATGTTCCAACAGAAAGCTCAGCCAAAAGCAGCAGCAGAAAGTACATGATACTAATGTGTCTGGACAGCTTACCCACACAAGGTCTTCCAACTCCCTGGGACCGATATCCTCTTGGACACACACAACGGTAACTTCCTCGTGTGTTCTCACAAATCTGGTTATAGCGGCACTGGTGGGTTCCATCCCGGCATTCATCAACGTCTGCAAGCAACAAGGCAAGGGAGTCAGATTTTTCTTGAAACTTTGTACAGCTTTAAACTTCTTAATGCAGAAGGAATGTAGTTAAGCCACAAGTGAATTTGGCCATCCAGATAGATGGGGTCTCTGAACACACACACTTTTCTTACATGGTGCCATGATTAGACATTACTCTAAACAGCTTGTCTTATAAATCACAATCTGTGATTCATAAGCAGATTTTGAGCAGGTACACAGATAAATTTTCAACTGTGTTGCATTTACACACACACTTCTTCTGTTAAAACTTTTCATTGAGGTTTCCAATGCGATCAGCTACTCTGCAAAGAGACGTAATCCCTCTTCCTGTCATATCCCACTAGGAAAAATGATTTGGAAGTATATGTAACATTGGTTATGTTTAAAAGTATCCCTGATAAGCAGCAAGGATCTGTGATCTTGATTCAGACCCCCCTGAGATGAATTCTAAAGAAAGCATTCACACATGGAGCAAGACATTACAAAAGTCAATGAACAATTTGTAGAATTCAAGGTGACAATGCAGAAGAGATGCTGAGGAAAAAAACCCTTACTGTTCCTTCATAAACACAAGGGAAAGCTGGAAGGGGCAAGGATACATCTATTCTTTTAATAACAATTATGAAAAAGTTAAATATATATGTTCCCATAAATGAAAAGGAGTTGATGCTGTAACACGTGCAGATCTTAACTGGAGGCTGGACTATTTCTAAGATTATTTTAAAAAAACCCATCATTGTTGTACCTGTGTTTACCATCACTGTACAGTACATTAGCGCTTTACTCACCAATACAAGTTCCATTTTCTGCCTTGGTCATTCCACTGGGACACAGATCAATGCACTTATAGCCACCACGGGTGTTTTTGCAAAGCTGATCAGGCCTGCATACATTCTGCCTGCACTCATTTACATCTTATTTAAAGGAAGAAAAGGCAAGAACGGAAAAGAACTCACTTATGTACATGCATTTGAATTTATTTCATGCACATTTATCATTCAGCCCAGTTCCCACTTCTCCTAGCTTTTAGTACTGCTTTATAAACAAATTCAGAAATACATACTGTCATTCATGATAGGATTTTCATTTATAACGGTTTCCAATAACAAATATAGCAACAAACAAATGTTGCCCATTGGAAAGAGAGAATGAACATTCAAAAATTCATTCATACCCATGCATTTTCTGCCCTTTAGCTGGTATCCTGGATCACAACCACAGTGGAAACTTCCTATAGTATTGAAGCAACGCTGGTGACAGGAGTTGGACTCTTGGCACTCATTAACATCTGTTGAACAATACAAATCCGTGATACCGTAAGTTGTGAAATGCCTTGTCATCAGTTACCTGAATAGTATTTTGATTGAGTCAACATTCTGGACTCTGATTTGAGCTCTAGGTATTACACTATTGGGGTATGTTCAGAAGTGTTTGCTTCTGTCACTTCTTTGTAAAAGAAAATGCACATAGGACACAGAAGCAAGAATGTTAGGTTATTCCCTGGTAGGATTTTAAATTTATTTCTAAATATGGACAAAGCAAAAGGTTTAAAAAACCAAAACAACTACCAAAAAGAAATTAAAAACAAACCCCCACAATCTTAATAAGGAAGATTCATAGACACTGTATTTGGGGATGATTCTTTTAAAAAGTTACTTTCATTCCTGTGAAAGACAGCATTATCAGCTTATGAAAGCTAACAGTCAAGGATCAGTCTCCATACCTTGGCAACTAAATCCATCAGCTGTCCTCCTAAAGCCATTCCCACATCTAACCACGCAGCGGTATGAGCCAATGATGTTTTCACAGTCCTGGCCAGCATGGCAGGTATGTCCACCTAACGCACACTCATCAATATCTATAATTAAAAACAAGTTGTAAACCTCATTATGTCAAAAAGAAACAGATAAAGCAGGGTCTTGAGCATGATCAACTGTGAAATACTCAATTGCAAATATATTCAGATATTAAATAGAATACTACCAATAAATTATATTCTTATAATGAGAAAGTGGCCCAGCCCAAACAGAACATTTCCCTAGCAACTGAAGTGCCATGGGGCTTTCTGTATCCAGCCTGTCCACAGCAGTGCTTCTCTTACCCTGACACGTTCTACCATCTGCAGAAATAGTGAGGCCTTTTGGACAGGAGCAGTAGTAAGAACCCATGGTGTTATGACAGGTATGGGAACAAGGATTTCTCAGAGCACATTCATCTTCATCTGGAACAAGGAAAACCAGTGAGACTTCACAAGACTTTACAAGAAACTATACCAAACAAACATTTCCAAGAGGTATATATCTGATAAAGCCCACAGGGCAAAGCTAGATATAGTAATGGGGCAGCTTCACAGAAATGGTTCAAAAAATGCATTCTTCACTCTTATTTCTACGGTTACCAAACCTCTGCTAACTCAGCTTGCAGGAATCTTGCTTTAGCTCTGCAGGACTGGGTCACTACTGTGACAAATGAAAGTTTGATACAATCTTTTTCAGAGAATCTCCTCAACAGAACAGATGGGTAAAAGAGTGTAGATTTAGATTGGATTTTTTTTTTCTTTTTTTTTTAAATGAGAATAGCTAGACACTAAAATGTATTGCCCAGAGAAGCTGTGGATGCCCCATCATTGACAGTGTTCAAGCTTAGGCCAGACAGGTCTTTGAGCAATCCAGTCGAGCAGATGGCATCCCTGGCCATGGCAGGGGGGCTGGAACTGGATAATCTTTAAAGGTCCCTTCCAACTCAGATCATTCTGTGAATGCATGGTTACACACTACCCTTGTCATGTCATTCATTACCTGAACAGTAAGGCCCAGTTGAGTCGAAACCAAACCCAGCAGGGCACTGATTGCTATGATCTCCTGTATGGCAAAGGAAGCACATGTTACTTGTGGATAAAAATATGTCCAATTTATTGCTTAAAAAACTCCCAGCTTTAACATTACAAATTGCAGGCCAGCTATATTTAAAAGATTTATTAGTGGGTGTTCTATTTGGGCACTGAAAGTCAGTAGCACATAGGTTTTGAAAAACCTTAAACAAGTGTGTGTATTGGTGTCCCTTTGAGTGACTGCAAGTTTCATCCCATCTTGATACATCCTGCAAAGTTCCTCCATAAAGTTCTTATTATTAAAAGAATAAAGACCATTTCATTTCACTTCACATTAAAGGAGGGAAATTAACACAGATCAAACAAATCACCATGTCATCGATTGTGGCAAGTCACTATAGAAGAACACAGGCATGTATGAACTGTAATGGAAACTTTGACAGATACTGGCCAAGGACCACATGTATTTTGCTGCCTGAAAATTGATTCACTAAATATGTTGGGTTTTTTTGTTGTTGGTTTGGTTTTTTTTTGTTTTTTTTTTGTTTTTTTTGTTTTTTTTTTAAAGCAGTACATTAATTGTTGGTGGAAATAAAAGCAAGTTCAATAAAGGCTTGGCCAGATTTATGCAGAGCATAATTTGATCAGAACAATTCCTTTTATCAGACCTCTTTTTAAAATGGAAAAATATAGATATATGGTTTTCAAGTTACACAATATGTTCATAGTCTGGCAAGTATAGGAAAATCATTATTTTACTTCATTTATAATGCTGTTACTGAAAAGAAACACTGATATACAATCCCACTGTTTCATTTACTTTCAAACCTGATCTATTTTCCTACTATGCAAGAAAAAAAGACCAAATAGTATTTAAAAATATAACAGGACATTCTGTTATCCAGTTATCACCTCTCAAAGGAAAACCCACTTACAAACATAAATGACCCATTCCTTAAGGTCACTTAGGTTAATAAAAGCTAGCAGTTAGTAATGCTAAGGTGCAGATGATGGAGCTATTTGCTTATCTCTGTGTTAAGACTCACCAGATTTACAGACATAAGCATGTATCTACACAGCACTGTATAACTGTGCACCATTCATATCTGCCCTTAAAAAAATACATCCATAAAATACCAGTACATTTTTTAAGGTGAAGCTCCGTATCATATTTTCTGTATATGCCAAATAATTCCAGAGAAGTTCAATCCGAGGAATGACTTAGGACGTTTTACCCATTTTTGTGCTGAATTTTGAATTTTCTTCTTTTAGAGAACAAAAGGTACATGCAAAGAAGTAGGGAAATATTTTAGGTTGATTATCTGAAGCTACTGGTGATCCTATTAGCAGTGTCAACAAATGCAGACATACCTCATCAATGAGAACTACAGGTGAAGTGCAAACTGCAGTAAGTTTTACCTATTAGTCTGTGGATATATTAACAAGACATGCAGATCCCAGGATCTACAATACAGGTACCCAAGTTTCACAGAATTTCCTCTTTCAAAGCTGTAACACCTTTTGAGCATATAGGTAATGGAATCTGCAAGGACAGGATATTGTTTTTCCATTGTTTTATTTTTGTGAAAGATTAGAACAATACCTTTTGCAATGGAAGCGTGGATTTTAAAAGCCACTGCTTCTTCCAGTGGATTGTACTCTGTTGTAATAGAGGAAGCATGGAGTGTTTCCACCAAGAAGGGCATCTTTCCTTTAGTGTAATCATAGGTGATAGTGTGGTTCCATGTATAGGGAACACTAACTCCATCTACAGTGAAGAGTCGAGTAGAATGGGCATACAGTTGCCCAGGGCCAGTTTGAATATAGTCTTCTGTGTAATCCTGAAACAGCAAGATTTAGGCATCAGCCACTGAGTACATCCAATACCACTGTAGTCTTTGTATTTTTAAAATGGTGTGAGATGTATTTTGAGACAGGGTCTTAACAGCTGAACAACCGGTGTCCTCGGGGAAGCCAGAAAGTCAGAGAGGTTTAAGATACACCTCTGTATCTCTGTCAAAAGCAACACCTGACATGGTAACAAGCCTCAAAGACACCTCTCAATACTACCTTCTGACATCTAAAAAATCTGAGTGACTGGTACTACCTTCCTGATGATAACTTGTTTTCAAAGGCTATGTTAACATCTGTCAGTTAAACCAGGCACCAAATAAATTACATACTGTATAACAGTTTTCAGGACTGAAGCAGTGTCTACTGCTTTAACATAGAAGAGAGAGGGAGTGTATTGTTGAGAGAAGGAGGTGGTGTCTTTAGCAGCTTTACCTTCACATTAACATCAGCTACTGACTGGAGCTGCAGCACGCGGCCACTCACAACAACATCCAGCAGCAAAGATCCGTCTGAATCCAGACCTCTGGCAATATGAGTCATCCGCAGAATCTCACCTATGAATTTTAAGAGCATGTTGATTCATAAAACATCCTAACCAGAGACTCACGTTAGCCATGCAGATCTGAATTGAGGTCCCTCGACCAGTTATCTTATACTCGTATTTTTGTAAGGCATACCATGCCTGTAACAAAAACCATCATGGTTCAAATGACAGCTCTAAAAGCTGTATTCAAGCTGTATTCTTGTGCTGTAAACACAAGACTCAAAATTCAGCAACAGTTATGTGCCATTTTTGAATAAATACAGTATCTCTCAAGCTTACTGGAAACAGAAAGAGCTGGTATATCAATCACAGAGAACTAACCAGTTGCAAACTCCACTTGAGTTTCTCTCTTGAAGACCGCATCAGTGAGCGTAAACCCATTCATTGCTTCTCCAATTTCTTTCGCTGTTGTCCAATAAACAGGGCTGAGTATAGATATGAGCTTTCTCATTGCTGGACCTGAAAGAAATGTGACAGAACATTTGAGAGTTATTTTCCTAACATCCAGCAGCCCGCATCAGTAGGAGCTGAATACGAAGACCTAAAACTAGAGTAATCCTGAAGATTTGAACAAGAAAAAAATGTATGTATTGGTATATTCAGAGTAATCATTTTACAAATACTAATGTACTAGAAGTAAACGTTGAAGATTCCCTTTTACTCCTTGTCTGTGAAAAGTTCAGATTTGTTTTTTCAGAGATACTTAATGAAATTAAGTGGTGAAAACTGACATTGCAGAGAATTCGGCCTGGCTCAAGGAACGAAAGTGATGAAAAGTAAAATAAAACCTACCAAGGCTCTGAGGGACATTTGTGATCTTTGCTTGTATTACCCTAGTTTCAGAATCAGGGCTGTCTGTTACTGTGGCATTCAGGAAAGCAACTCCAAATTCAATATCATTAATATTGCCAATGATGCTGCCTTTTGCATGTGATGGCCCACCTGTGCAGGGGAGGAGGGGGAGGAAGGAAAAAAAAAAACGCCCATGTGAAAACTTTGCTGCCTGATATTTTGCACGAGAGGAATTCAGAAATGTTGTTCAGCATTCTAAGAAGTAAGGATATTTCTCCATATGTTACTACATTATTTGCAACTGTAAAGCTCATAACCTGCAAATAACAGTATCTCTTTATACGTGGTCTGATACAGATTCACAGTAATGCAGGAATCGCCTTACACATTGCCTCTGAGAAGTAACAATTGTTTAACAACATACTTGAGTGCTATGTAAAAAGCTAACAAAAACAATATTCAAAAAAAAAATATTCCGGCTGAGTTGCAGGGGAGATTTAAGCCAAAAAAGTGCAATCAAATGAGACAAATTGGTACGGAAGTGTACCAGTCAAATTAGGAGTGGCACACAATATTTCATTGCTTGCAGGCTGTAAATTAACTCACCAGGACATGCTTGGGTATTACACCTGGATATCTGGGAGGAATCTCCAGGACAAGGACGTCCACGATTTAATGGGGCTGGATTGCTGCACAGGCGTATTCGGGTCTGCTCTCCTCCTCCACAAGAAGCCGAGCATTGACTCCATGTTTGCCACTGCCCCCAGTTCCCATCCACTGAAGAAATAAAGAATGAAGAAAGCAACTTGTCATTTTAAGTGTTTCAGGCTGCATCAGTGATGCTTTAGTGTTATTCCTTCTTGATTGAATCAATGTGTTAAAGATGACAAAAACACCTTAATGGATAGGATGAGTAGGAACAATTCTCCCCTCAGTGTCCTGGTTTCAGATGGGATAGAGTTAATTTTCTTTCTAGTAGCTGGTGAAGTGCTGTGTTTTGGCTTTAGTCTGAGAACAATGCTGGTAAAACACGAATGTTTTAGTTGTTGCTAAGTAGCACATATTTAGCAGGATGTGCTAAGTCAAGGATGTGCTAAAAACAAGGACTTTTTTCAGCCCCTCATGCTCAACCAGTAAGGAGGGGCACAAAAAGCCGAGAGGAAGCAGAGACAGGACACCTGCCCCAAACTAGCCAAAGGGGTATTCCATACCACAGCACGTCATGCCCAGGATATAAACTGGCGGGACTGACTGCTGCTTGGGTTGGTTTGGGTATCTCTTAGTGGGTGGTGAGCAGCTGTAACGTGCACCACTTTTTTTTATTGAGTTTTATTCCATTTCCATTCTCCATTTCCTTTTATTATTACAATTGATATATTTTATTTTATTTCAAATATTAAGCTGTTCTTATCTTAACCTACAAGTTTTACCATATTTTTTTTCTCCAATTCTCCTCCCCATCCCACCAGGGGCAGGGAAGGAGTGAATCAGTGGCTGCATAGTACTTAGTTGGAGGCTGGGGTTAAAACACAACAGTCTTTTTGGCACGTAACATGAGGCACAAAGGGCTGAGATAATGATAGTTCTGACCAGAGCATGTTAAAACATCTCTGTGATGTTTATCCTTCACGTGGCTTGGACTAAGGTTATCATTTCATTGTTCTTTGTAGTGCTGGTTTATGGTAAACCCATCTGGGCTGATGCATTGTGGCAAGATACCACTGCCTGGTTGGAGAACCTGATTGTGAAGGTATGTAGATGCTCACGTGCCCAAGAACTGAGCCACTTGAAGAACATCAGAACAACCAACAGGTGGATCAGGGATTTAATAATTATAAAAATCATTATATCAGAATTAAAAATAATACAATAATAATCCTTTTGGGGAGAGTTATAGAAGGGTGTTTAGAAATTTTTAGGCATTTAGTAAGTCTCTAGCATTGGGGTTTATCTTCTGTATTGCTGATACTAATCCTGAATGTGTAAGTTCACCAATTGCCCCTTAGTTATGTATTGTCAATAAATCAATTAACTGTCATTTTGTTTAAAGCATTTGAGCTTAGCATTTTTCTGTGCTCTGGAATACATTAAGAGAGTTCACTGGGAGCCTCATAAACTGTATTTACTGTAAAAAGTACAATTACTAGATGTAGGAGAGATTTTCATATGCTACTTCCTGTTTTGAATCATTCTACCTCATTTTGGGAACATCTAACACATGAAGGGGGAAATCCTTGTAAGATAACAGTCATTTAAAGAAGAAAAGTGAGAGTGGATTATTATATTGTGTAATTACTTACAATTTCATACAATGTTCTACATTCCTTCTATAATATGAAAATCTCACTTATGTTACGTATACTGTGAATTCTTCCAGGGAAAGCTGCATTTGGTATCTCTTTTAGCCTGAGAACTCACCGGGGCACAGTTCAGTGCTGCACCTCTGGATCTGCATGTCAGCCCCTGCACATGCCCTTCCACCACTGGCAGGGCGAGGATTGTCACAGGTCCGGTATCGCCTCATCTGGCCTCCATTGCATGTTCGACTACAAGTTCCCCAGCTACTCCATGGGCCCCAGTTTCCATGAACTGTAAAAATACGTCAGATTTTATCTGTCTTCCTCTTAACAACAGATACTTAAAATCAGTCAAGATAAGAAGATATTACTATTGAAGAGTAACTTGTTCATATATTTTCCCAAAAATAACCAGTTAAAGATCTAAGAAAGTTACCTTGTCCAGCATTCAGTGATTGCTCAGAGTAACTCCAGAACATTGTTGTTTGTAGGAAAGTGTGCAGCATATATTATTAGCTGAGTCACTACATTCTACTGTGAGATACAAAGAAATTCACTTTGCAGTACTTTCTGACTGGATAGTTGTCACTTTAGAGAGGTGTGTGACATCTGACAGTCTAGCAGGACCTTATCGGCCAGCAGCTATTTGTTTGTCCTCCTAATAGTTAAGTTTAAGTGTCCCAGTCATACTAAGTGACGAAGAGATGCTTTCACTCTTGCCAGGTAGCTAATACCGCTTGCCTGTGTTCAGACCCTCCTGATTTCTGTGAGAGTTTGTGATTTATGGAGGGCTTTGTTCCTCTCATGCACATGTAACAAGCCCAGTGAGTGGATAAGCAGCCTAATCCAAACCACTTACTTGGACAAAGATCGCTGTTGCAAAAATCAATTTGTATGTCATTTCCTTCACATTTGTGACCCCCAAACTGTGGGGCTGGGTCTGAGCAGTGGCGCGTTCTCTGCCTGCTGCCTCCTCCACAGGACATGGTGCAGGCACTCCAACTGCTCCACGTGGCCCACTTCCCATCCACTGGTGAGAAAGGCATAGCATAGTATAGTTAGAGTCTCTGACATTAGAAATATAAAGTAAATCAGTGCTACCTCAGGATAAAACTGAGGAAGGATGTCACTGACTCTCTTTCTAGAACATCTCAGCTACATACGGATTTCCAGGAGGAAAGCTGGAGAAAGGCATGACCTGTATTTTAAATAACCTATAAGCCTGACCAGAATCGTGGTCAGGGATCACTCAGTCCTCAAGCTTAGGCACTCTCCCATTTTTAGATATCTGTAAGCGAGTGGAACCATATACAAAGTACCTGAAATAACCACACTGGGCTGGCACAAGTGCTACCCCAAAGCCCCAGCCTTCACTTGGGCACCCTCCTCTGGTTGCAGATGCACTGTCTTAAAATGTAACCCTTGTCCTTCCTAATTAACCTTTCATTTAATGGCTCAGCTATTTGTAGGACTTACTACCAAATTATCTCTCCTAAGTCAGGTCTAAGCATTTGAGTAGTAGGGTCTTTGATCTCCCAAGATATGGTGACACAAACTGTTACAGCTACATCTGTGTGAGCACTTGAGTTGTTGGCTGAGAACAGGCCAATCAGTCACAAACTAGTTGTAAGCAGTAACATCCTCAAGCAGCAACATGTGGAGCCGGGTAAATGTGCAACATCGAACCCTCAGTTGTTTGACTCCCACAAGGTCAGTATTCTCTTCTACCTGTTGATAGTGGGGACTCGGCATAGGATCTGGCATGTGCAAAATGGAGCACAAAGCCAGAAGGATCTAGTCTGAACTGCTGCACATTCCACTTAGTGAAATTTCCCTCTCATTATCCCTGCAGCCAAATACAGAGGTTGTATTTCAAAACTATGAGTTTACCTATTTGGTCATGAAGGACTCACTGAAATGTGGAAGAACAGGATAAATGAATAACAGAATGTAGGAAAATGTTTAAAAATAAACATTTAGGAAACACAGTTGCAGGGTACGGGAAGAGAGACAAGGACAGGAGAAGAATTCCCATATGTTAAGTCTATAGTGGGATGCTAAAGATAGTGGCAGGGACCAGTGAAAATAAAAGGCTTGAATGAAATTTTTGCAGGGACTGCACTTTCAGAACTGGAAAGCTTTCAATACAAATTCGGTAGAATTTGGAAAGGAAATTAGAAGTTTGTCATTGTTCCATTTGTGCCCGATGCATCTTACCTGGGCAGCGCCTCTTGCTGCAAACCTGCATCTGTGCATCAGATCCCTCACAGTATGATCCATCGTGTGAAGGAGGAGGGTTATTGCAGAGCCTCAGTCGTGTCTGAGTACCTTTCCCACAAGTCTCACTGCAAGGACTCCATGGCAGCCAGGAACTCCACTCACCATCAACTGCAAAGGCAGTACGGCTATAAAACTGTTGAAACTATACAGCTGCTTTAACTTGAAAATTACAGCTTCACAGCCTAAGGCAAAAACCTGTGGTGTTTAATATCAATAAAGTGAAATACCCTGAATAAGCCCTTGAAAGGCCACAGCCTTGAGCAATAGCCTGAAAACCTGATCACATCTGGTGTTTTCATAAGTTACCTGGCTCTGATTGTCCTGTGCTAGGCTGAAGGTCTCAGCAGAGGAAGTGCCATGCTAGCTAAACACTGGCACACAGCTTTGGTGACTACCAGTTAGCAGGAGGCAAGATCTAGAGAAATGAATCTTAGGCTGATGGATGAGCATTTGGCATCATGGTGGTAGCAGAGCCAGGGTGAAAGGGAAAAATCAAAGACAGGAAAGAAATGTGAACGTTTAGCTCTTAAACTATCATGATTTACATGGCTTTTTAATAGTTGTTTGGGCAGGGTTTGTTTTGTTCTTTTCATTTTAACTAGCTTTGCAGAATGTATTCAGGGCCATGAGTTTACTCTGTGAGAACATAGGTAACAAGTATGGAAACCAACAAAATAAAAAAAAATCAACTTTTTTTGGGGGAAGAGGGGAAATGCTGAGAATACTCCTTGCACTTACTTTTGTGACTTCTGTTTCCAAGAACTAGTGCCATTCAATAAATTACAAACAATTGTAAACCACCCCCCAAAAAAAAAAAAAACCAAACAAACCACAAAAAGGGGAGTTTAATTCTTTTATAATTTAATAATTTTAAATAAGCTGGAAGAATTGGGGTTTGGAGAAAAAAAAAAAAAAAGATATCTATATGGGAAGCCCCTTGTGCAGCTACTTTTAAACGACTCTTCTCTTACCTGGGCAAGGCCTAATATTACACATGACTGAATCCACAGCACTGCCATCACAGGGCTTCCCGCCATGCTGAGTTGATGGGTTACTGCAGGTTCTGGTTCTGGTCCTGTTACCTTGTCCACAGCTCTTTGAACACTCTTCCCATAGCCCCCATTCTGACCAGTTGCCATCCACTAAGAAACAGAAACCCCCACAGTTTTAATTAAAAAATATTTCTGCAGTACTTATTGAAATTTCCTCTTCCTTTCCACAAGAGAAAAAAATAATTCAAACTTCTTAGAAAAATAAATCTGTCATGAAGATCTGTGGTGATAACAGTTCACTGTTAGGGCACTTAACATAAGGCATGTTAGAAGTATCAATTCAGTAAAGAAATACCTGGACATGGCTTGTGGTGGCAGCTGCGCACATCTGTATCAGGCCCCTCACACCTCTTCCCACCATTTGCTGGAAGAGGGTTGTTGCATTGACGGACTCTCTCCTGAACACCTTGACCACAAGTTACGCTGCAAGCTCGCCATTCAAGCCAATTGGAAAATCCACCATGCACTGCAATGGGAAATTGATGCTCTATATCATGCTTGTGCTTATAACTCTCTTAGATTGATTGATACAGCAAAGTGAGAAGTGCACTTCATAAACTATTACTTGGAAATCCAACTCACTTCCCATCTTCACTACTACAGAAATGTCTTACTACAGTTCTGGAGAACACTTCAGCTGCTCTGAAATAGTTATTGCTTATGCTCATAAAGGCTTTTCTCTAGGGGCACTATTAAGTTATGCTATCTGTTCTACGATTCTTTCATTATTACTTATGTCTCTCACTCCATGCTCATCTGTCTCACACAGCTGGGTGAATATAATGGAAAAAATTTTCATGAAACAAAACCCCACTGACATCTCAGACTAGGCCTAACATATACTTAATGCTTATATGCAAGATAAGATTAAATATCCATAAAATACGGATAAGATAAAATCTTGATCATAGATTATCTCAATTAATGCTGTTATCTACTGGTTTCATAATCATTATCCTATCCTCAAGAGGGACTTTTTATAAGAGCAGGTAGTGATAGGACAAGGGGGAATGGCTTTAAACTGAAAGAGGGTAGATTTAGATCAGATAGTAGGAAGAAATTCTTTAATGTGAGGGTGGTGAGACACTGGAACATGTTGCCCAAGGAAGATGTGAGTGCCCCATCCCTGGAAGTGTTCAAGACCAGGTTGGACACAGCTTGAGGCAATCTGGTCTAGTGGAAGGTGATCCTGCCCAGTGGCGGGGGTTCGAAATAGATGATCTTTAAGGTCCCTTGCAACACAAACCAGTCTATGATTCTATGTTTTGTGCACCTACCCTGGACAGTCAGTGGTACTCTAACAAGAACAGATCCCATTAGATTCCTTGCTACACACTCATATTCAGACGTATCTTCCTTCTGTGCTGCAACAATACGCAAGGAGCCATTGGACAGGACAGTCATTCTCTCATCGCTCACAATTGGATGGCCCTGGCGGGACCATTTGACGGTTGGAGAAGGCTCCCCATTTGCCTGGCAGTTCAACATTGCTGTGGCACCAGCTTCTATAACTGTCTCTACAGGTTCAACAGTGATGACTGGAGGACCTGAAAGAGAAAAGTTTCTTTAGGCAATAGCACATGGTTACTTTGTTGTTGTTGTTGTTGTTGTAATCAATATTAAAGTTCTGAATGAGGACAAAAAAATATGATGCCAGTTTACTTTAGCTAAGATTATTATTGATGATCTTTCACTATCAAAATATATGCAAGTAAAAATGATGGTAACAGGCTATTTTTAATATAAAGCAATCTGAGGACCAAAGCTGGGATTGAGGCCTGACTATATGGGCATATAGAGTCATCTTTATTGCTAAATGTGTTGCTTTTCATAAAACCTGTAGGAAGATGCACTTAATTATGTCCAGAGGCACTGAGACATACGTAACAGATCAACAATGCTTGAGGTTACAACAGGAAAGGGATGTTCAGAAATTCTACCACTGGTGAAAAAATAATTCTAAAATATTCTTTCTGCCAAAATTAAAATATTGACAGTGAAAGCTGAGATTCATGTCATGTAACTTACTTAATTTAAAAGTTAAAAGTCTAATTTATCCAGTCCTATAGACATTCTCTCTAGTCAACTTAGAGAAACAGGCCCTTTCAGAAGGTGATTCACCCTACTCTAAGGTGGTTTCTAAGATGAGGTTGAATCATCCTCTACATGCTTCTCTTCTTTGATCTCAATCACTAGCTTAAACTAGACTCTAAACATATTAATGATGAAAGATGAGATGAATCTTAACCGACAGTACAGTGCCCAACCTTCAAAACTTGAATGGGAGCTGCATCCGCCTATCCAAAGGTGAGTATCACTCCAATCTAGTGAAATTAAACTTATCACTTTGAGTCTTACTCTGAAGTGTTAGTGTCAGACTGCGTTCCACCACACCAGCATCGTTGGTAGCCACACACTTGTAGTCACCAGCATCTTCATTCTAAAGGACAGAAAACAAACACTCAACATGTTTGTATAATGATGGTTTCTGTTTACAGTGCACATCCTGTAAGTGAATTTTCTGCAATGCAATCTGACATGCCCTGGATCTTGAGGAATGCTCTTAGGTTCTAGAGTATCTCAAGATTTTGCCTTTATTATTAAGTTAATAGTGTGGATTATTTTTATTATTTCATTTGTTATTTCCTTCAACTCCTTAATGCTGAGGATCTTTTTTTTTTTTTAAATGAAAACTCTCAAGTTGCTGTTTAAATGATGTTTAAATGAGCATGTAACAAAGAATCTAATAGGATCTGTTCTCGTTAGATTAGCTATTAGGAAGAAATTCTTTACTGTGAGGGTGACAAGACTGGCACATGTTGCCAAGAGAAGTTGTGGATGCCCCGTCCCTGGAAGTATTCAAGGCTAGGTTGGATGGGGCTTTGTGCAACCTGATCTAGTGGAAGGTGTCCATGCCTGTTGTTTTTAACTCTATTTCAAAATGCAGACATGAGTTTATGGGGAAGACAACATGTCTTGCAATTTATGTTAGGAATTTAGATGCCAAAAGATATCAGATGGAGAACACAACTGATTTTCAGCTGACTTGTAGAACCCAGGCTGTTTTAAGGTCAAAAGTAAAAGTCCCATTTAATTGGGTACAATTTCACACACCAACGATTAATATGTAGATTCAGTCCTTCTGACAATCACAGAAAATGATAGCCCCATGGGGTGTTTTTTTTTACAGAATAATTTGAGTCTAATTCTAGTCTGAATTAAAACAACATTTGTTAAAGGTAAAAGCAAAAGTGCGTTAAACATCAAGCCTCAGACTTTCAAAATAACATGATCTGGAATACCTTTATTAATCAAGTAAAAGGCAGAAACACATTGTGACAGACCAGTGACTCACTACAGTGCCGTAGATAGCGAGAGAACCATTGTTAAGCTGTCGGATCCTATTGCTAATCTGAATGCCAAGTCCTTTTTTGCTCCACTGGATGGTTGGAGGTGGATCTCCTCTGACTTCACAATTCAACATAGCATTGCCTCCCAAGGGCTCAATTCGGCTAGACTGGTAATTCCCTTTGAAGACTGGAGGCTCTGAGAATACAAGTAATAGCAAATAAATAGCAGAGTCAAAATAAAATGCCCTGAATAGAATTGCTTGTAGGGATCATTCATCTCTGACTTTCTGAAGTATGAATTTCAAACTGTTTCAATTTTTCCCATTTAGCCATAGACAAGGTACGAAATAGTAGGAGTAATGGTTTTAAACTGAAAGAGGATAAATTTAGATTAGCTATTAGGAAGTTCTTTACTGTGAGGGTGGCAAGACTGGCACATGTTGCCAAGAGAAGTTGTGGATGCCCCGTCCCTGGAAGTATTCAAGGCCAAGTTGGATGGAGCTTTGAGCAACCTGGTCTAGTGTAAGGTGTCCCTGCCTGTGGAACTAGATAATATTTAAGGTCCCTTCCAACCCAAAACTTCCTATGATTCTACTATCAAAACAGATGGCTGTCTGAAACTAACAGTGATGACCAGCTACTGAAATTTTACATACCTTTGACATACACAAAACCAATAGCTTTGATTGAGCCAACTGTGTTTTCTGCTGTGCAGACATAGGTACCAGAGTCATCTTTAGACACTCTGTCGATAACAAGTTCACTGTGTCCATTTACATCATCATATCGTGCTGAAGGGAGAACACACAGCAAAGGGTTACTCCAATGATTTTAAATGTGTACATTTCAGTGACTGTTGTAAGACTGTTTGAATTACAGTGCTATTCAGCAACACGGCTCAATGGCATCGTGCTATTTCAATTCTGAGACACCTCAGAAATGCACAGAAATGTCACTGCTATGACATTTACCCAAATGCCTGTATGCACTTCAGTTGTCCCTTAATTTCAAGTTTTGGGCATCTGCATTCTATGAACTGCTGAGGTTTTCTTCAGATTTAACAGAAATAGCATTAGTTGTTGGATGCTGAATAAATATCAGATACAAAATGTTTTTAATGTGTTACATTACTGGTTACAGAAGAGGAACACTTTCTTCATTATCTTCCTTACAGCTTTGTCTCAAAGGCAATTTAATTACCTGATTGCACGATACTGAAGATATTCTTCACATGATCATTGACTATAAAATTTTTCCTTCTAGATTATTTTTCTTCCTTATCCTAAACCAATTGTAATGCTGTGTGGGGGAAAACAACTGCAGAGTGGAATGGCCAGTAAAACCTTTTGTCACCCACCTGGAATGATGTTATTGTTAAAGGTCCATGTTATTTTGGGTACAGGTATCCCAGTTGCTTTGCAAGTTAATCTGAGCTGTTCTCCTTTAGTCAAAGCTACATCTGCAGGCAGTTCAGTAAAAGCGGGAAGTACATGAACTATCAGAGTGACAGTGTGTGTGTCTTCTCCAGCAGCATTGTTCGCAATACAGGTGTAACTGCCAGAATCTTCAGGCTGAAAGAAAGCATGTTGGGGAAATTTCAACTATGATACATCCTACACAATGCTACCACTTGTAACAATAAGCAAATCTCAAAAGGTTTGGAACAAGCATTCAGCAGAAATGCTCATCCGAACTCTCTCACTTCCTCTAAATTTGAAAGATGACCTTCTTTTTGCCCTTCCTTATCACTATAAATTCTTCACAGACTTTACTCCACAGCGGAAAATTAAATGTCTACTTTGGAACATTCAGAACAAGAAACAAAATAAAACAAATAAAATAATCCAAAAGTGGGTGTACACGAAGAGAAACAGAGTCTTACTATTGCCAAACCTGTTGAGGCATAGCTTAGATTCAGGAAACTTACAACAACACTGTCCAAAATGAGGTCTCCATCTGGCACAGCCCGATATTTTCCTACTAGCTCTGTTAAAAGTGTATTGTCCTTCTTCCAGTTTATTGTTGGTGTTGGAATCCCATCAGCCACACAGGATAGAACAGCCTGGGAGTCCTCTGTGACTGTGTACTGTGCATCCGTCCTGCGAATCTTGGGTGGAACTGTAAGAAGATATATTAAAAAGATTTATTTTTATGTACTATCCAAGCACTACTGTAAAAGCATACTATACTGCACTGAATACCTGAAACCATTGTCTGGATCTTCGTTATTGTTTTTAGTCTGTATCAATGACCACCATCCAGGAAAACAGAGAAATGTGTGAACTACTTGTAACAAAAGTACAAACTGAGGGAAATGTAAAGTTCTTCCTAAATTCAAGCAACTACAACCCATTAAAACTCACTCTTTAAGTAGTACAATTTTCCTGAGCTTCTCCCTTACATCCTAGCTCCTTACCATCTGTAGGTTTATGCTGTGTTAATGCATGATGTTTCCATACAGTCCCACTTACTGTGTACAGTGAGGTCCATGCTAGAAGTGCTGGAGCCTGCCAGGTTTGCCGCTATGCATGTGTAAAGGCCGGTGTCACCAGGCTGTACAAACACAATCTGAAGAGCACCAGTACTGAGAATTCTTCTTCTAATGGACTCTGTTATTTGCTGTCCATCTTTATGCCAAATTATCTCTGGCCCAGGGTAGCCTTCAGCCTCACACTGCAGAGTGACAGACTGATCAACAGGAACAATATATTCCTTGAGGTGGGGCTTGATAACAGGAGGAACTGAAAACAATAAGGAAAATTTTTAAAATACTTAGATGTTGTAAGAAGCATGGAATGCTTCAGTTCTTAGTGAAAATAATCCTGAAAGAATTATCTTGATCCTAAAGTAGACAGACAACTAAAAGGGAATAAACCTCCTGGGCTTTATTCAGTGTCAACAGATAGGAAAGCATTAAGTCCATTTCTATTGCTCAGAATTGTGTTTTGACTAACAGAAGGCATACACAGATTTCTTGTTTGTAAATCACTACAAGAATTTAAGAGATGATTTACCTTGAACTTTCAGTTTGATCTTCCCCAGAGCAGTGCCAGCTGGATTTTGAGCAACACACATGTAAGTGCCAGCATCTTCAATAGTTGATTTTGCAATCTGTAAACTGCCACTTGGAAGAACCATATAACTGTTTCCTAAAGCAAACACGAGCACAGTATGAAATTTTTGGTTTGTTTTTGTTTGTTTGTTTTTAAATGAATAGGTTCCCTATATCTAAGTTTGAACATTCAGAAAAGAGAAGTTTCTGAGTTACAGCAAGTAGGATGAAGTTAAGAGGATACCTGTTGTGATTATATTGATGCCCTCCTTTTGCCATGTTATTATGGGTTGAGGTGTACCTGCTGCTTCACATGGTAGCAGAATGGGATTGTTCACAATGACATCCAGTGCCCCTGGCTGAGTTTGGATAACTGGTGGCTCTGTGGAATGAAATTAAAAGGAAAATACAGGAGATATTAAAATTGCATAATCTGAGAGTTTGAGAAGGTATATAATACAGCCTTACTTCTTGCAATTTGCCATCACAGATACATTTTAACTTACCAAAAAGCAAGGAAACAAAAACCTTACAAAAATAAAATAGCGCAGCATAGACCAGGAGACTCTATCCAACGTACCAGACTTGTGACATGCAGAGTAGTGACTTTGTGAATAATCACTGCATCACAAGACAATTTGGCTGAGCAAGACACTATTTGTGACAGTCCACTCTGGCTTCACCATTATTCTGCAGCACATGTACGTGTTAAATGGGCAGCATTTCCTTACCGAATGCTTTTTCTCTTTAGTTTCCCATCTTACCTTGAATGTGAAGAGTAACATCTCTGTGAGCAGAGCCAGCTGCATTCCGGGCCACACAGGTGTACCGTCCTGCATGTGCTAGCTGAGCAGCAGGTATTTCAATAGCACCTGCAGCAAAGAGGGTGCATTACAACATACAACAGTATCCCACAGGGAAGTTTCACTGTGAATACAACACCCATCTTAAGAGGTCTGTATTTTTATTCTAAGAAATTGGAGAGGGGTTGTTTACATTTATTTAATCCATTATTTCTGGACATGCACTACTGCACCCTTTCACTAATTTTCTGTAGCTGAGCTCCAGCCACTCACAGTACCTGAAGAGAGAATTCTGTAACCATCTCCTCTGGGAAGCAACTTTATGCCGTTTTTGGTCCACTGAAGTGAGGGGACAGGAACCCCTGATGCAGTGCAGGAAATCACTGCTGGAGACAGCTTTGTCACCAAAAGGTCTGCGGCTTCATCTGCTATGGACGGAGGCACTAAAAATGAAGATCAGTGTAAAGGTTACTTGCCCACTTTAATTTTTATGAATTCTCGGAAATAACTTGTATTTCTTGGGAATACTAGAGACTTATGATATCAGTATCAGAAAAGAATGCTATAAAAATCTCATCTCAACATTGAAATGCCCCAAAGAAATTCTGGATGCCATGCAGATGTAATAGCAATATCCCCTCTACCTTGAACAGTGAGCTCAACTGCTTTTTGATCTTCTCCTGCATCATTTGACACAGAGCACTCATAGACAGCAGTGTCATCCACAGTGGGAGAAATGATTACTAAGGAACCTGAAGATAGAAGTCTGAACAAAGAAAAGAGAAGGACGTAAAAGCCATTGAAATATTTCTTCTCAGGTAATCAGACCACTGACTTTGCTAGTTATAAAAGATTACATTTAAGAATGGCTAGATTTTTAAAGTGCCAAAATCATTCCTGAAAACTTTTAACCTACAGTGGAAAGAAAATATCTCTCACCTGTATGTATTCTGGTTCTGGTCAACACTAAGCAGATGCCCATTCTTTTTCCAGCTAATTGCTGGTCTTGGAATTCCAGTGGTTTCACAAGGCAAAATGGTCTGCACATTTACAGTAACTGTAATATTCGTGTGTCCAGGAGCAATAGTTGGAGGAACTAAGGACAAATAAAGCCTAATTATATACATATGCCCACAGACCCCTCTCATACATATATATATATATA